CCCGGCCCGCCGGCGAGCGATGCGAAGCAGCGATTTCAGAGCTGGCCGTCGACCACCGAGACCTCGTTGGCCTCTTGGCCTTGGCTGCTCTGGTGTCTCGTACGGGTCAGAGCCTTCGAGGCTCCTCCAGCGGCGGTGGCGTTTCCGACGGCTCTTGCCCCTGCGGATTCGCCGATGCCTGATCGGGGTTGGGCTCCCTCGAGTTCCCGGTGCCCAGACTGGGGGAGCAGGCAGATGTCACCCGGCTGGGTGGCACAGGGACCCCGGCGTGCGGTACCTCGGCCCCCTGCCTTGCCCGCACCCTGACGAGGCCATCCGTGCCCAGCCAGCGGAGCGGAGGGGAACGCGGCACATCAACGTTTCCCCCGATTGCATTTAACAGGCAGATGTCACCCGGCTGGGTGGCACAGGGACCCCGGCGTGCGGTACCTCGGCCCCCTGCCTTGCCCGCACCCTGACGAGGCCATCCGTGCCCAGCCAGCGGAGCGGAGGGGAACGCGGCACATGAACGTTTCCCCCGATTGCATTTAAAACATGCTGCCACTTGCCGCATGGCTGTAATGGGTTTTCAGCCCTGAAATGGAGCCAGGCTTTGTACGGGGGCTTTTCCCCCGGCCCCCTTCCTGTGGCAGGTGAGCTAGCTGAATTTGGGCTGCTTGTTTAGGGCCAGATTTTCCAAAGAGCTTTGGGCCAGGCTTTCAAAGGCTCAGCGCCTCCGGGCAGCCAGATCCGCCGAGAGCTCAGCTCCCCATTAGCTGTGCAGCGGAGCGACAGCGCTCATTAGAGTGCAGATATTTGCTCATAAATCAAGTCCCCCAAAGGGCTCCCAAAACCTGCAGGCTGAGTTGGATCAGCCTGAAACTTCCTTCGCTGCATGAAAGGGTCAGTGGTCCAGATTTGGGATGCTTAGATGAGGGATGCCGCTGAGTGCAGCCCACTTGATATCCCCGGAGAGATTTCCAAGCGTTCGTCCTCCAGGCACCCAGAGTTGGAGTGAGCGAGAGTTCAACTTATTTCGGAAGGAAACCAACTTAATGCAATTACGCCCCGGCTGTCTCTGTGCTTCCTCCACTCTCCAGCCCACAGTAACTTTTGAACCACAGCATGGGCGGGGAGGCAAAAGTTTAACGATACTAATTTTCTCCAGATCCAAGAAAACAAACAGACAGTGGGGGGGAGATGGCTAGCGCTGCTATCCGGCATGTGGGGCCCCAGAGCCTGTTACGAGCAGGGCGTTACAAAGGCTCCAGCTGCAGGAAAGTGCTTGCACCTTACTAGATGCCAGAGGATCTCATGAGGAGAGATGTAGCCGTGAAAAGCAAAACCCTGTTGCTGCCACGGCTCGCAGGGTGACTTGATGCTTCCCCTCCCCTGTGCTTGTCCTGCAGGGCTGGAGGGCTGGGCGGCCGTGGCTCCAGACGGCACTGAGATCCCTTTGCGTTGGGCTGATGGCGAGATCTTCACCGAGTGGGACGGAGAAGAGCCGGTGGATTTTCTTGCACCAGGTATCGTGCGTGCAGGAGCACTGCCAAGTCGGCACCATAACTGGGCTGCTGCTCTGCTGCGGGGATCCCACCGGCACTGTCCCTCGCATGACTGCCCATCGCTGAACCGATGCATGCAGATGCATGACGTGCACTCCGCAGCGGAGCTGGTGGCATCTCCACAACTGCAGCAGGAGGCCGTGGTGGTGGGTTGAGTAGTGGGCTGGGACCTTGGGAGGTCGGTTTGGAGCTGGCCCTCCTCCAGCTGGGTGACCAGGGACAAATCAGCTTAGCCTTCTGTTGATCATGATGGGAAGAGGACGTTGGCACATCTGTGTCTTACAGACTTTCCTCTTCTTTCCCATCACAGGGAAGTTTCTGCAGAACCAGCGTCTCAGCTACGGGCAGCTCCTCTCCCTGCTGCTGGGAGTGGAGGGGAACGGGACCGGAGCATCCCTGCCCCAGGTGCAGCTGGTGCTGGAGGGCGAGGGCATGGGGATCACGGTGCAGGCCCGCTCCTCCCCGGCCGGTGACGAGCCCCAGCCCCGCCAGGGGAAGCAGGCTGTCACCTTCAGGTACCCGTCACAGCACCTTGGGCTCTCTCCTCGGGCAGGCTTGGGTCCTGTCATGTCTGATCCTGCTTGGGACTGGGGAAATGGGGACTGTGTCCTGTTCAGGCCATGCTGCGCAGGGGAATCAGCCCCAGTCCGTGCCCCCCTGGGGATTTCACTGCGTCCCCCCATCGCTGTGCCCAGTCCTGGCTCAGGGAGCCGAGCTGTCCTGCTGGCACAGCGGGGCCCCCCAGCCAGGCCCTTCCCTGCCTCCCGGCTGCTTCTCCAACAGGCTTCACGAGGCAGAGGGTGCGGAGCCTTTGCTGTCGGCCTTCAGCTTCCAACGTCTGCTCTCCAACCTGACCGCCCTCCGGCTCCGCGTGAGCCGCGGCCCCCTGCAAGGTAGGTGACTCCGTGCACCGTCCCTGTGCCAGGAGGGTGACACTGCATGGTTGCCCCATGCAAGGCAGGTGAGACCACACAGCAGCCCTGTGTAAGATGGGTGGCACCACGCGGTGGCCCTGTGCAAGGCGGGTGACACCATACAGCAGCCCCGTGGGGACCAAGCTGGGATGGGGCTGGGGATGTCAGAGTAGCATCAAGCACCAAATGTGGGACAAGAGGCCTTGTAGGGGCTGGGTCCTTCTCTCTGTGAACAGCCCCAGGCAGGTTTGGAGGCATTTTGAAGGTCTCCTGTGCCTGTTTGGAGCATTTCCAGGCAGGATGGTGAGACTGGGGCCAGGGGCTGTGCCCCCATCTTCGCGTCGGTCTGTCCTTTCCCAGGCAGGCTGTCCCTGAGCGAGGTGCAGCTCACGTCCGCTCGCCCCGGCCCGGCCTCATCGGCCAGCTGGGTGGAGGAGTGCCTCTGTCCCCGGGGCTATGCCGGCCAGTTCTGCGAGTCCTGCGCGCCCGGCTTCAAGCGGGAGGTGCCCTTCGGCGGCCCGTTCGTCGACTGCGTGCCCGGCACCTGCAACCAGCACGGCAGCTGTGACCCCCTCGCAGGTGCGTCCCCCGGCTGTCGGCCTCCCCGGACCCATCCGGTCACCAAATCCTTGCGTAAATGGGTAACAAGTCAGCACACTTGCATGTTTCCAAGGGATGCTGGGAATTATCTGTGAGGTTACAGTACCCCAAAACCTTCAAGTTTCATTGCCTGGCTAATTACAGGGACTGAATTCATAGCTGCAAAGACAGAAAGAACGGGTTAACTGCAATAACAGCGATGCTTTATAATACTAGGGGTGTCTTTCATTGTGCTTGAGCATAAAGGAGAGGAAAGGAAAGGGTGCTGGGCTCCAGAGCGGTGCGGGGGGGTTTGCCAGGATGGCTCTCGCAGACGGTATCGCTGCTCAAGATTTGGGAGGAACGTAGCAGGGTTGCACACAGACCCGGTGCCTGGAAACGGAGCAGAGGAGCAGGTAAACAGGAAGAAAAGTACGAGCTAGTGAGAAGGCCCTGGAGGATCCCCAGCTTTGGGGTCCCCGAGCCCCACTCCACCTCTGGACCCAGCTCAGCGGTGCATGCCGACGGCAGCGATTATGGCTTGAAGGCAGGAAAAAGCCCAAGTGAGGTCCTCCCGGCGGCGTGGCTGTGCCGGTGGGTGGTTTGCGCGATATCTGCTCTCCCTCCACGTCGGGGGGCTGCGGGGCCGAGGCGCGGGCTGC